TCCAATAAAAAAAAATAATAATAAAAATAAATCTTAAAAAAAAAAAAAAAAGAAGTGGAGCAGCTGGGACATGAATCAGAGCCCATATAGAATCCCATTGCATGCAAGGTGAGGGTGTATCCACTTAGCCATCGTTCTAGGCCCTATGCTTACTTTTCAAGTTCTTTTGACAATAAGACAAGTGGGGGTGTATAATTTCATATAGCGCATGAGGCATATGACAGAAGAAACTACCAGTGCCTCAACTGAAACACGTGTCATTTAAACGCCTCAGCTGGCATTTAAATGACATGCAGCCTGGAGGGAACACACAGCAAACAGTGCTGAAAACGGCCTCACAGGAGGGAGCAAAGCACAGATCCAACTCTGCAGGCCAGGGTGCCCTGCTAACAGCGAGAGTATGGGGCAGCAAAAGCGACTGCCAGTGCTTGTCTGTGCTCTCAGTGGGACCCCACCCGAGCCCTGAGCCTCTGTACCACATCCTGGCTTGTGCATGGAGGAGCCAATGTCTCGAATGGGTAATCCTCTGTAAGCACCAAGGTCCTATATGGGCTCCAGTTTGTGTCCTGGCTACTCCACTTCCCATCCAGCTCCCTGCCTGTGGCCTGGGAAAGCAGTAGAGGACAGTCCAAGGCCTTGGGACCCTGTACCTGCATGGGAGACCCGAAAGAGGCTCTTTGCTCCTGGCTTTGGATCTCAGCTCCAGCCGTTACAGCTACTTGGAGAATGAACTAGTGGATAGGAAATCTTTCTGTCTCTCCTTCTCTCTGTAAATCTACCTTTCCAACAAAAATAAATGAATCTTGAAAAATATAGCAAAACAAGATAAAAAAAAGTTTGCTGGATTTGGCAGCTGATGAGCTGTGGGGAATAGATGGGGGGCGGAGCCAGGAATGACCATCAGCCTTCTCTGTTCTCCAGGCTGGAAGCAGAGGAGGCCTTTTTTTGTTTTGTTTTTAATGGATTTTTTTTTATTTACCTGCACTTTTTATTCTCATTCTATTATACCAGGACATCTCTTTCCCAACACTGGTCAATGTTTCTTTGTTTTTTGGGTTTTTTTTTTTCCACTTCAAGTGAAATGGAATTGCTGTATGAAAAGCATACCAGTATATACAATGTGGTGAGTGGGGTGGATGGATATGTTTGTTATCTGGACTGAGACAACAGTAACAAACAAGTCTGCCTATTTCCAAACTCACCACATTGTGTCCTGGGGTCCCCTTGTGTGGGCTTCCATGGCACACTGGCTTGCTTTTCGTCAGTAAGCTTCAGGCGAGATTTTTCTGCGAGATTTGCCCTCAAGACACATGTTCAAGTGCCCCGCATCATCCTGTTCACCATTGATGTTCTCTTGTACCCAAGCAGATCCCAGAGGCACTTCCTGCTCATCACTGAGGTCCCAGGACATAGCAGGTGCTCGGTTAAGGAATGATGTGCGTGAGTGGTCAGGTTTGCAGGGGAAATGTGATGAGTTCTGTCCAGAAAACCTCAACTCTCAGGGGTGGCCAAATGATACAAGGTGGCACCATGTGAGAACCTCAGGGGTTTGATGCCCAAGAAGAGATGAGGTGTGCAGGGAGAGAGCAAGGAATGTTGGGGGATTGAGGGCGGCGGTGAGGCCGTAATTCTGTTCTTGGGTTCTGCAGGCCTGTGGCCTCAGGCCCCTGGGCTCCAGAGTTACTAACACCTTGGGATGAATTTCCGGGTAGGTTTTGTCTAGCTCAGGGGCACAGGGTTCCTGTCACTTGCATATCTCCTCTGATATGCTGTCCCCACCATTCACCTAGTCACCCAGGGCTCTGTCAGACAGCAAACACTCGTGTGGCTGCGCATGGGACTGGGCCCTACCAGATCTCCTCTGCCCCCGACTCACTTCCACACCTGTGCTCTGCTCAAGTCTGCACCTGCTCATACTGTCACCAGTGGCAGCAGAGTCTGGAAGGCACAGCTCCAGCCATGCTCTGTGTTGAAACAGACTGGAAGTCATCTCTCAACACACAAAGTACCAATGTGGCAATAGTGATGATGAAGGGAGAGCTAAGTCATGCTTAGAGAGAAGAGCAAAACCAAGCCACACACTTCTCCACGGCCCCTGAGACCCTTTGTGTATTGCCCTCCATGACCCTCGGCCCCGGCCTGGGCCCTGGCGTGCCTGCCTAGCTACTGCCTATAGGTCACAATCTCCCTCCCCCCTACCAGCTCTCTCCCCCATGGTTCTCCATTCACCTCCATCTCCTCTGGACACCCTTCTCCCTGAAGCCTTGGACTCCTCTGGGCTCCCACAGGACTGTCCTGGGCTGTACATGTCCCCTCTCCTGACCCGTAAGTCCCTTCAGGGCTCGCCCCAAGACCTGGCACAACATGCTGGCTGAGACTTTGTGGGCCAGAGAGCAGTGTAGTCCACTGCAGAGCACAGTGCCAGGGAAGGGTGAGGAATCAGGCGGAGTGAGGAGGAGTGTGCAGGAGGGCCGAAGTGGAGGCTGGGGATGTCAGTCCCAGAGCTGCCCGCGGCATTTCTCACCCTGCCTGAGGCTGTTCTCTTGTCCATCTACTCAGACCCAGGCTCTCACTGACCATTCAATCTAGAAATGTGACCCCCCCAGTCTTTCCCTAGAAACCCTACAAGGTTTAAAACTCCACCATTCATTTCCATAGCTTTTCCTCTAAAACCTCTCTCCCTTGGGCCTGGCATAGTAGCCTAGTGGTTTAAGTGCTCGCCTTGCACACTGCACCGGGATCCTATATGGGAGCTGGTTCTAATCTCAGCGGCCCCGTTTCCCATTCAGCTCCCTGCCTGTGGCCTGGGAAAACAATTGAGGATGGCTCAAAGCTTGGGACCCTGCACCTGTGTGGGAGAACCACAGGAGGCTCCTGGCTTCAGATTGACTCAGCTCTGGCCATTGTGGCTGCTTGGGGAGTGAATCAACGGGTGGAAGATCTTCCTTTCTGTTTCTCCTCCTCTCTGTATATCTGACTTTCCAATAAAAATAAAATAAATTGTTAAAAAAAAAAAAAAACCTCTTCCCCTCCCAAGACCCAGGAGAAGGTCAGCATGCCCCTTACCTAGGCCTTGTCCAGGGCAGGGAAGCTGGGGTTGGTCTCGGATGTGGTCACCAAGGGAGAGGAGGACAGGATCCCCTTTATACAGTGGTGCCCTGCCACCCCACCCCCTTGCAGCTGCTTGGAAAAATGATACCTGCCCATCTATTTCTGGTGTCTTCTTGAAGCCAGGGAACACTGGCCCCCACCCCTCTGCCCTGGGCTACAGGCTGGGGCTCTTCCTACACAGAGGGGACTCCCAGGAGCCAGAGGGGATGGGGGACAGGCCTTCAGGGTCCAGGCTGAGATGGACAGTGATCAGCCAAGGGGGAGGGAGAGAGGAGGCTTCAGAGAGAATGTTTTACAGTTTGTGACTTTCAGATGACCAGCAAGACTTACCTGAGGTGAGGTTTCTACTGAGGAGGCTGGGTTGCAGACAACAGGATCACTGCCCACCAGAGGTGCCCCCCCATAGCCCTCTTTCAGCCCATCTTTTGCACCTTTGGGGGTTTCCAGGTCCTGAGATGGAGAGAGACTGAAGCAGGGACCTCATAAAGCAGACCCCAGGAGCCAAAATGCTCATACAGGCCCATGAAGAGAGAGCAGTAAATGCCTGTGTGTCTCCTTCCATGGTCACAGCAACCAGGGGAGTGGCTCTTGTCATTGGAGAGGTTCAGAATCAAGCAGGTCCCCAAGAAGCAGTGGGGTTGGGGATTGTCTGACTTTCCTTCTCTCTCTCCAAAACCACCATCCCCACACCTGCACACATAGTTGGTCTTCAGGAAGGATTTTTGGAGAAATGAGGATAGTAGGAGAAGAAGCGCCTTTGAGTGGCAGTGTGAGGTGAGAGGGGGTCAGGAATGGACTGGTTGAATGGTGAACTGCCAGCATGCAGCCTGTCTTGGGCCCCAGTGTGTTGGACCCGGCCGCCTTCCTCATGCAGGGTCTGGCTGCCCAGGTTCCTCCCCTCTGTGCTTGTTACAGTTACAGATTCCTCTGCTGGTCCCTTCTCTCATGACCTCTGATCCGGTTCCAGAACGAAGAGCCAGGCTAATTATAGCCCAGCCCAGAGGAGGAGGGGCAAGGGCCAGTGTTTGTAAACACAGGGCCACAAGGGCCAAAAATAGGCAGTTGGAGAGAGGAGGCTTTGGAGGGTGGTATGGGGAAGGAAGGGCGGGGCTTGTGGCCCAGAGGCCTGAGCAAGTGACCCAGGCGGCGGTGGGGCGGTGCTATGCAAATATATGTAAATAAGCAAATGCGCAGGCGCTGACCTCTATAGGCAGACAGGCCTCGTGTCCTGGAAGCCAGGATCCCTGGCTGGGTCAGGGCTCCTCTGAGGGAGAAGCCAAGTCTCTCAGTCACCTCCTCCACACCTGGCCTTGCTGCGAGCCCGAGGAGGGTCCTGGGGAAAGAACCAGCAGTCTCGGAGAAGTGGAGTCAGGCCCGGCCTCTGACTGGCCTCCCCGGCCCCCAGCTTCCCATCCGCCTGTCCGTTGTTGGGGAGGAGAAGTGTCCGGTTACTAGCCAGGGTCTATAGTTAGCCTCCGGGACTTTGTCAGCTGTCAGCCCCAGCCTCCCGCGCTCCTTCCCGGCTCAACCTCCGCAGCCTCCTGGTGGGTCCTGGACTCTGGACGGAGCCAGGTCACTGCCCCACCGTCACCATCCCCCCGGGCAGTCTGAGGAGCTGAGACTGTGCTGGAGGCTGTAAGCGGTGAGGCCCCGCCCAACCTGATCCCCGGCCACGGACCCTCGACCCAGGACCCCCTCAGGTCACTGGAGCAAGGCTGCCGGAGCCCCTCGCGGCCAGCGCCCTGCCGGAGCCCCTCACTGCCAGCACCCTGCCGGAGCCCCTCGCGGCCAGCGCCCTGCCGGAGCCCCTCACTGCCAGCACCCTGCCGGAGCCCCTCGCGGCCAGCGCCCTGCCGTCACTTCTGGTGCCACCCTCGTTCTGACAACAGATGATGCTGGCTATCCTGCTGGCTGTGCTCAGCTACCCTGGCTTCCACACCCTCTGGCAGGTAACTCAGGAAGGGGACAGCTGGGGGACAGGTTCCCCTCAGAATTCCCTCCCCAGAACTCTAGCCTGGGATGCCAGTCCTCCCAGGAGCCTCTACCCTTGCAGGGAGCCCCAGTCCCCCTTCCTTCTCCCAGAGCCCCCTCCTCTACCTACAATGCCTCCTGCAAACCCCACCTATTCATTTCAAACCCCTCTCTCGGGTTGCCTTCTACTTCTCATCTCTTGCCACAGCGAAACTCCAGCTTAGGGCTTGGCCTCTTCCCTGGGTTTGGGAATAAAGGCTTCTACTGCAGAGAGGCCTTGGTGTCTCAGAGCTGATTTGTCGTGGAGGCTGCGTGCCTGCACAGCTTCAGAGCAGGGGAGCTTGGCTGTGGGTGTTTGCATCAGCTGGGAGCGCACCTGCCCCTCCTCCCACAGGACGCAGGGTGCTTTCTCAGGTCGTGTGGCAGTGAAGGTCTCTCGACTGTATTCACGGTAACTGTGAGGTTGAAAGGGTTATTTTAGTTAGAGAACCTGACCCCCCCGGATTTGAGACTTGCCTAAGAGAATAGGTGGTGAAGTCAGGACTTGAATTCACACGGCTGACTTCAGCTGCCTGTGGGATTGAAGTCTTTCCTGGAGTCTTTGCCATGTCACATTGAGATTTTGGGCATGGAACCAAATAAGCTGTTTCTGTGGTTTTCAGCCCCTTGGCCACTGGGCCCTCTGGGCCATACTCTGAACTCACACCCTTTCTTGTGTGGCTCCCCTCTCCCTTCCCCGTCCACAGGCCCAGGCTGCTCCCGTCCTGGCGCTGGGTCTGGCCCCAGATACCTTCGATGATGCCTATGTGGGCTGTGCTGAGGAGATGGAGGAGAAGGCCGCCTGCCTGCTGAAGGAGGAGATGGCCGGCCATGCTCTGCTGCGGGTCTCCTGGGAGGCAGCCCGAGAGGCCTGGGAGCGCCGGCGGGGAGGCCTCACCCTGCCCCTGGGGTTCAAAGCCCAGCACGGGATAGCTGTTATAGTATACACCAACTCCTCCAACACCTTGTACCAGGAGCTGAACCATGCCGTGCGGACGGGTGGGCGCTCCCGGGAGAGCTACCTGAGGCACTTCCCCTTCAAGGCCCTGCATTTCTACCTGACCCGGGCTCTGCAGTTGCTGCGGGGCGGTGCCGGCTGCAGCACCAGCCCTGGGCAGCTGGTGTTCCGAGGGGTGGGCAGCTGGCGCTTTGAACCCAAGAAACTGGGAGACTCTGTCCGCCTGGGGCAGTTTGCCTCCAGCTCCCTGGATGAGGCAGTGGCCCACCGATTTGGTAATGCTACCCTCTTCTCCCTAAGGACATGCTTTGGGGCCCCTATCCAGGCCCTGTCAGTCTTCCCCGAGGAGCGTGAGGTGCTCATTCCCCCCCATGAAGTCTTCTTGGTCACCAAGTTTTCCCAGGATGGAGCCTGGAGCCGAGTGAATCTCTGGAGCTACAATCAGACCTGCAGCCACTTTAACTGCGCCTACTTGGGTGGTGAGCTGTGCATGGGGGAGCAGGCGGGGGAGGGTAAAGCAAGCCAGAGTGCCATCCCTGGAGCCTTCAGGGCCCCCACCAGGGTAACGGGGCAGGCAGTCAGCCAGAGTTGCTGGCCTGCCAGTGTTTTCCCAGGTCTGTGACTAGTCTCAGCTGATGCTCTGTATTGTCCAGGGTTTGGTTCCATGTGCTGTGTGGCAAGATGGAGCAAAGGCCCCTGGTGCAGGAGCACAGAGAGCAGCAGGGGGAGATAGGCATGCTGCGCCAGCTCCTACACACACGTGTGTCTGCCTTTGCCAAATGCTGGGGCGGAGTAGTGTGGAGCTGGGATGGAAGGACCATCTGGAACGACTCTGGGTTGGGGGGTGGGGAGTCAGAAGTTCATGAAGGGAAAGCTGGATTGAGAGATTGGGGCGTGCAGGGCCTGGTGGGAAGGGACGTCTCGGGTGAGAGCCTGTGTGCACGGAGGCCTCACAGTGTCATCCCTTACAGGGGAGAAGAGGTCAGACTGCGTGTCTCTGCCAGGTGAGTCGCCTTCCTGCCCCTGCCTCAGCTGTGTCCGCTTCTCCTGACCCTGCTGACTCCATTCAGCGTGTTTCCTCCTCTTTCTCATGGTAGGGCAGCCCGGACTACCCTCCAAGGGGCCCCTACCACCACTCTCCTGGGATGCCGTGCTCTTAGACCCCGGGGGACTCCCGCTTTCAAAGGCTGGGTTCTGAAAGGCCAACACCTGCCACTTTGGAATCCCAGGCACCGGTGACTTCTGTGTGAAAAGGGGTGAGAGGAGGCTTTGGACAGCATCAAGAAGCAAGACCATGGCTCCAGACCCACACCCAGAGGCCACATTCCCAACCAGGATGCAGGGAGAGCTAAGGCAATCGCAGGGTTAGTGGAGCCTGGTTACATGATGGGGACTTGGTAGAACAAACCAGGGAAGGCCTGGGACAGCCACTCCATTAAACGATGCTGTGGTGTCTGGCAACACAGGACTTTATGACTTATTCCGTGGAACTAGACTGTCTGCTGTGCTCCAGGGACAAAGGGACCAGAAAAGGAAACTTGGTGACCATTGCTAGTCCTAGTCTCACGTGCAGACCTGTGCCCCACACTGTAACTTGCACACCCAGAAGCATCGACTGTGAGGGTCCTCACCTGAACCATGAAGGCAGGAAGGGGGACAGGTGGGATCCCTCAGCCCTGTTTGTCTGCAGAGCTAAGGGAGGAAGCTGCTTGCTCCAGATCAGATTGCTGGGATTACAGCCCAGCCTCTTGTTTTCCAGCCTACACTTTTCCCACTGGAGTTCTGAGGTCCCCTGAGCAAGTGGTTCTAGGTTCTTTCCAGAGAGAAGAATGGGGGAGGGCCCTCCAATATCAAGAGGCAGGAGTTCTTGCAGACTCTGGCTACATCTGACATTCAGGAAAGAACTTTTATTGAGGCAAGGAAAGCTGTATATGTGCCTATTAAGTGATCTCCCCCACCTGTGTTCCCTTCTCACAAGGCCACTGTGCTCAGCCACACTGCGTCAGGCCACAGTTTGGGGTGTCCTCTTTGGCCCCAAAACCCTCCTCCAGGGGCAGGTCCCCAGGCCCCTCGGCTTCCTGCTCCCTGTGCACCAGCACATGAGCTGGAGAGGAGGAGCCAGGTTCCAGGGCAACTGGAACTGCCGGGCTGCCAGCATCCTGAGGCCCAGTTTCTGAAGATGGCTGAATGTCCATCATCCCTGGCATTGTCAGCTCTGGGGTCTCAGGGATGGGGGGTCCCAGGTTCTGGAAGCTGTTGCGTACCCGGGTGATGTACCGGCTGAGAATGCTGGCACCATCAGGAGGCCGACGTGTTCCCCCATCTGCCAAGGCTCGCTGTACACCAGCTACCTCACTCTGCAGCCGCGACACAGTCTTGGTCAGCTCCGTCAATCTGTTGCCCAAGTCTGAGGGCAGTAGAAGGGAGGTCTTTCAGAGGACAAGCCTGCACCGTACCTCTACTACCCTCCACAGGCCTGTAGGGGGGTACCCAGTCTTTGGTTCCTGATGGGGAGACTGCAGGAAGCAAGGGCCTGGCTCACAGGCTGGGTGTCAGGTGGGAAGGCAGGACTCGGGGTTGGGGGGGTGGGAGAATGTGTCTAACTTGGGAGTGGATGATGGCAAAGTCAAGGCATGGAAAGATGGAGAATCTCCTGGGTGAGAGGGTCACACAGCCAGTTTTGAAATGAGCAGAAGTTTGTACATGAGCCCATGTCAGCCTCTCCCTGGTCTGTTCCTGGCCAGTGCATATTCATCCTCAGTTTAAATTCCACCTGCTCTTTCACCAACTTCTTGTTACCCACAGTCCTCTCAAAATGAGACTACGCCATGGGCTTCCTGACCAAGCACTTGCTGCCTGGCATGATGGTTCTGTGTGGCACCACACAGAATGCTTCCTCAATGTCCCTGTTCCACAGTGCTCCTCCCTCCAGGACAGGACAGAAGGGACACAACAGTGACCCTGGCTGGTTGGATGCATGAATGGGTCAGAGAGTGAGTGAGAGAAAAACAAATGGAGGCAGGAAGGCATGATTAAGGGAGCTGAGTGGAATAAATACTTGAGGAAGTCAGGGGGTGACAAAGTCAAGTGCAGCATGGGCAGGGTCATGTACTAGTGCAGGCTGGCTGAGGGTGTGGGTTTGGGTGTTGGCCCACAGTGGAGTGGGAAGCAGGCATAGGACAGGCTTGGAGGTGGGCAGCTAACCTTTCCGCCGAGTCTCCTCGAACTCACGCCGGGCAGTCTCAATGTAGCGCTGGACTAGAGCCTTGATGACACGCAGGCGGTAGGAGCCGCGTTCGCCTTCTGCTGGCCCTGGTCCTGCCCCGGGGTTGGCCTGGAGTGGAAAGGCAGGAGAGGGGAGAGATTCTCCACGCCTCGCTTTTGTCTACTTCCTCAGAGGACCATGGCAGACTCTCCTGAAGGCAGCACACCCAGGGTTGGTCTGCCTTCATCTCCCAGCGTGGTCCTGGGAGGGAGTGGATGGCTGGAGGGGCCTGAAGTGGGAGAAGGCTGAGAGTGGGGGACTCCTGCAGACCCTGCAGGGATGCTGGTGTGTGGTAGGAAGGGACTTGGGCCATGCCTGTCTGGGTTAGGAGCAGGTCAGAGGGGTGACTGAGCCCTTGGCCACCTCCAGGCCTCTGTCTGCCTCTGATTTCCCAGCCTGGGGGGCATTTACCCTGGGCTTCTCACCATGTTTTTATAAAATTAAACATTCAGCCATGTCTTGGTGCAAATGAAAAGGTTTGTCTGGAGCTTAAGGGTCTCTGCATCTTAGGAGAAGGGTAGCTTGTGTTTAAGTCATGTAACATGGGATGGGAAGTTTAGGAACTGGCCAGTGCGAGGGAGCGGGAACAGAAGGCACATGGGGGAGAGGGAGCTGGTAATAGGATTCTTGGAGAACCGTTCCTGGGCAGACAGACAAACCCAGGTCATGCGGACAGCTGGGGTGGCCTGGGTAATGCAGCTGGAGCTAACTGGCAGCAAGCAGCTGAGGTACTCACAAAGGATGGGATCGGGGGGTACTCGGGCTTCTTGGCTTTGCAGCCAGAGCGGCAGCAGCAAATGAACTGGAGGATTCTCCTGAGATTCCAATGGTGGGAAGAGATTAGGCAGGGGATGGGGCTGAGGGAAATGGGGGTCAGGAGCTGGGTGCTGAGCGCTTAGGGGTTGAGAGTGAGGGCTCTGAGCTCATCACCTGAGAAGGTAGAAGATGGCCTTGGGGGAGGGCAGGATGTTGAAGGGCACAGGGAGTGTCAGGCCCTCGCGGAAGTAGGACAGGTAGAGCTTGGAGCGAGCAAACTTCCACTCCACATCAGCATCGTCCTGGGGGCAGGGAGGAAGGTGGCTGTGGCAGGCTCATGTTGGCCCCTGGCTCCCCTGCCCACTCCAGCTGCCCATCTTGATCCCAATCCTTACAACTCTTACCTGCAGTGCACTCATTGTATTCTCCTCCCTGTTCTGGCCTCATCCTGACCCGCCACCTGCACCTCTGCCCATGATGGTCTCCCCATTACTTGTCATCCTGTGCAACCCGTCCATTTTCTTCCCTCTTCTTTCTTAGGCTCCCAGTGGTTTTTCCACAGCAACCCCCTCCCCACAGCCATAAAGAGGGTAGGGCAGAGGATTTACAAGGAATCTCCATTTCCAGCAGGCAGCTTGGCCAAAGCCACAGAACTAGATGATGGCAGAGGCCACACAGGAACCCAAGCACTTTAATTCTGTACACCTTCCTCTTCTCCCTTCCTTTGCTCTTTCTGTTCCCGGGGCCTGAGCCAGCCTTGATGCACACACCTCAATCTTCTGGAAGGAGTTGGTGATCATGGCAATGAGCATGTTGAGCAGCACGATGACCATGACAATAGTGAAGATGCCGTAAAGGGCCCGGCCCACAAATTCAGGCACCAGAAACTGGGGCATGTCCACCACACTGTGCTCCTCCATGCCAAACATGGTCCAGAACAGGAACTGGAATGTTTCATTGAAGCTGGCAGGCCGGGCCAAGGGAGGGAAGGACACTGAGGGCTAGGGGAAGAGGCTGAGGTCCACCCAGACACTCCTCCCCTCCTCATCCCAGCCATGACATTCTGCAGCCATGACACCCTTGGAACCACCCTGGCCCAGGCAGACACCCACGGTTTCTAAGGTTCAGCCGACCAGTGTCTGCTGAGCACACCCTATGTCGCAGTCTCTATCTTTGAGGCCCTTCCGTTCCCAGATGGCAGTGGGATGAGGTGAGTGTCAGTCAAGTCCATTAACATCCTAAATGGTGGTGAGTGCCGTGATGATGCAGTGTGGGGTATTCTGATCTGGACTGGGTGGGGGAAAGCTGCCTGGAGAAATTGAACTGTGAAAAAGACCTGGGCCTCAGCAGGTGAAAGGGAAGGTGGAGTGGACAAGAGCATTTTGAGGAGGGGAGGTAGGGGGACAGGGAGAGAGATCCAGTAAACATTCAGGCTTGGGAGAAGGAAACAAAGGCTCTTGCCACAGCTTCAGAGCAACAGGAACCTAGGAAGGGTTCTAAGCAGAGGGAGACACCTGATTCCCGTTTGGAAAGATCCTGTGGGTTGTTGTGAACAGCATGCAAGCGAAGCAGAGTGAAAACTTGGAGATAAATTAAGAGGCTGTCTTGGGGTGAGCATTTGGCCCAGCTGTTGAGATGTCGCTGCAGGCATCTGCGTCCCATGCCCAGGGTGCCCGCCTCCAAGTGCTGCCTCCTCTACTTTCAGTCCAGCTTCCTGCCGAGGTGCACCCTGGGAGGCAGCAGTGATGGCTCAAGTACTTGGGTCCTTGCCACCCATGAGGGATACCCAGATTCAGTTCTAGGCTCTTGGCAACCCGGCCCAGGCTTGGCTGTTGCAGGCATTCAGGGAGTGAACTGGCAGAAGGAAGACCTCTTTCTATCTTCCAAATAAAGTGAAAGCAAACAACCCAACATTTACACAGAAAGATGGAGTCTTGCCGTGGTCTGCGTAGAGCATGGCGGTGGCTGCTCTGCTGTGCCACCTGACAGGCACCCTTTCCCAAACTCTCTCCCCTGCCCTGGCAGAAAGTGTTTGTCCATTAGTTGCTCACAGATCTGATCACTTTCCCCCTATCATATTTCCTTGTGAATCTTAGTCCTTCCCTCTAGGCACCAGGTTATGTCCACATTACCACACGCTGACCCTGGTCTCTCCTCAGCCTCTCATTAGCCTGTCCAAGGCATTCTTTCTAAATACTCATCTGACCTCATCTGTGTGACTGTGCTTGTCAACCTGGAAAGGCTCACCACCCTTGATGTAGGTGGCAGCCATGCAGCCTGCCTGATGCTTTCAGTGATGTTGCAATTAGCTGTTATGCATCTGAATGAACAGTCCTGGAGAGTCTAGCCTTTTCATGTTACTGTCAACTGATACCACCAGGACATAGGCAGTAGGCTGCAGGGAGGAATTACTGGGATCAACATGGATGTTTTAAACTGTGAAAGCTAAGGTCCAAGTGTGGATCCTTTTGCATCAGAAACTAGGCCATCGCCCATTGCCCAGCTGCATTCATGAAGACTGCTGGTAGACAAGAGCCTGGATGTCTCAGTCAGACCTGTGTGAGCTCAGATCAAGCCAGTGCAGCCAAACACTGCAGTTGGTGAAACTGGGCGAAAGGTGTATGGTGTCCACTATACTTTTCACTTTTTTCGTAAGACTGACATTTTTCAAAATAAAAAGTTTGGGGGAAGATAAATTAACAAATGAATGCATAAATGAGAAAATGAATGAATGTCAGAATGAATGAGAGCATGAGGAAGTAAGAGAACTGGCTGATTGAATGAGTGAAGGAGGGATGGAGGGGCAAGGCAAGGGCATTCATCTCTGGCTCTGAGCTGCAAGGTGCCAGCCGCCCCGCCCCGCAACCCATCCCTGGCCCAGCATACTTGCCCAGCCGTTCTGTCTCCTGGTAAGGCACGTAGATATTGTTGAGGCCACAGAGGAAGGCAGTCAGGATGATCATGAGGATAAACATGAACCTGGCAAGGAGTGGGAGGTTGGAGGTCAGGTTCTGGGAAGGGGAAGGGGGTGATGCCCCTCTCGACAAGTTTTCTGTTATTGTTGAAGAATAGAGAAGTTAGGAGGTGGGAAAGGAGCATATGCTGAGTCTAAACACCTCAAGCCAAGGATTGGGCCAGTTTTCCGGGAAGGTAGAGATGGCTTGGGAACAGCTAGGAGTCAGCTGGACAGATGGTGGCCATCAGCCAGAGAGTCAAAGCCGCATGCGAAAGCATGTTGGTGTGCAGCAGGAGGGTCTCCCTGCCGCTGGGCTGAGCTGACGCAATCGGGCTTTTCTCGCCAAGGGTACCCAGGCCCAGAGGAGCAGGCAATGGCTGCGGACTCAGCTTTGGAGGAGAGGCCAGGTGTGACTGTTTGCAGTCAGGCAAGAAGCACTAAGGAGATCAGAGATGGTCATGGGTTCAAACAGCAATTGTTGGGTGGGAAGACCCAATGGGTCCTCCTGGATCTGGTGCTTTTGCTTACAGATGGGAAAACAGTCTTAGAGAGCGGCTGCTGGAACACGGGTGGAACCCAACCTAGGAGTCCCAATCAAGGGCTCTGCTCTCTGTGATTTATCATTTTTCCCTGGGGCTGTGGACCTCTCTGAGAGCTAGGAGAGAGGCACAGAGCTCCCTACACAGCTGGCCTCTCAACCCAGGGCTGCAGAGGGTTCCCAAGCCTGTGCCTATGGAGGAAGGCAGGAGCTGAGCATCCACACTGCAGGAGGCCTGGGGACTCTGGGAAGGAGGAGAGGTGGGGTGATACCAGGGGAGCTGGCAGGTGGAGCGCACCGGATCATGTCATCGATCATCCTGCCGATGGAGATCTGTAGGGTGCCCAGCGACTCGTGGGCTGGCAGAATGTAGGCCAGGCGGGTGAAGCTGAGCATGCTGGTGACAGCAAAGAGTACCTCTGCCAAGAACTGGGGGTCCTCGGTGCGCCACTCATCTCGCTCTATGTGGGGCAGAAAGAAAAGGGGGGCCTGTGGTCAGGAGCCAAGCAGGAAGAAGGACTAGGGTGGCAGGTGGTGGGTGGGTAACACTCACCAGCTGAGGTGAAGTAGCGGCAGGCAGCCCCATCAGAGGCCTCCCGGCAGTGCAAGTAGGCTAGGCCGGCCAGAAGGAGGCGCAAGGCGAAGGCTGCCAAGTACAGGGACAGGATGACCACATCCAGGAAGTTCCACCAGTCCAGGAGGTAGCTGCGCAGGCCCTCGATCCACACTTCCTTACACTCAAACCACAGGAAGCCTGAAGGGGAGTCAGGGCCAGGCCAAGGTGGGGAAGAACTCTTCCACTCCAAAGCCAGAGGATAGTTGCAGTTGGGGAAATGGACCCTGTGATGGCAGTGGGGAGGTAAGTTGATTAAATGTGGACAGATCTCCTGGGGTGGCAAGTGATGTCATGTGGGAATAAAAAGACTCCTCTCTGATGCAGACTCATACTTTCTGCTGGCGAGGCCTGCACACCTCCAGCACAGTTAGTTGGCACACAGGGGACCCTGCTTCTGGAAGGGAAAATGACTGAATGCTGCCTCCCCTCACCCTCTACTGTTTAAGGAGTACTGCTCTGTAGGGACTCCAGGGTAGCAGCTGGCCCAGGGGGTCCAGGGCCAGATGCAGGGTCTGCGATGAGGCGTCCTGGGGGACTGGTGATTCTGCCACACTGTTCTCTTCTCCATTCCCTGCACACTCACACTCACTGTTCTCTCTGCCTAGAGAGCCCCTCCACACCCTTTGGAAGCCCAGCTCGCTGTGGTATCCCCTTCCCTAATCAGGTGCGGGGGCTCTACTTGCTCTGTTCACCTCTTTCTCTCATGCTACCACTGTTGGGGGGGCACTTCTGGATGTATCTTTGTGGGTCTGTCTCCCTTGAACACCCCCCTGAACTTGGAGCTCCTCAAGGTTAGGGACCATGTCTAGTTTACTTCTTTGCCTCAAGAGCCAAAAACAAATTGAACCTATGTTCACATGTACTTCCTACCATTTGTGGGAGGGATCCTGTGGGGAACAAGACTGACATAGTGTAATCCTTATCCTTGTGGGCCTCACAGTCTGATGAGGGGGCTGAGAGCCACCAAGCAGAACCCCGACACTTGCTGAGACCAAGGAATAGAGGGGCTACGATGGAGTGCATGGTATGCATTGTCACCCTGACTTGGGGGCTAACATGATGGAGAGATGGAGCAAGAGCAGCAGGTGTGTGTGTGTGTGTGTACATATACAGGGATGCAGGGGCACTAAACACACATAACACGCTGAACATGCACAGGGCTTGCAAGGCCCTCAGTGCTCAACAGAACTCAGCTTCCCACGGGTGACACCCATGCTGGCTTCACATGTCTTCTACCCCAGGCATGCATGTCACAGGAATAACTGGCAGGCTGCAGCCAGTGCCAACCAGCCTGGTTGCTGCTTCTCCCATGGTCAAATGAAGGCACCTTCTGTCTGTTGTGGCTTGCTGCTGCCCCAGCCTCTGTTCTGTTCCTCATACCAGTGGCCCCGTAACCACACAGCCTATAAACTGAATGGTCATGTCCATGTGATGGGAGCATTGTTCTGCCCTATGACCTGTGGGATAACTGGCAGAGAGCATCTCTGCATCAATACTGCCAGGAGAGTTCCCACCTGGGTCCGCAGACAGGTGCCTGCCTTGTGAGAGGAAAGGAGGCCCCCAACCCAGGGCTGCCCTGCTGTGTGAGAAGTGCCGAGGGCCTGGCTGGTCATTCAGAAACAGGGTCTCCAATGGGGAGATTGTCCTGAGAACAGTGAGGGAAGCCCCGCCTATGTACCTGCCACCCAGATCATGTGCAGCGAAGTCTCCCACACGCTCTGGCTGCGGCCCCGGAAGGTGCTCAGCTGCGTCTCCATGACCAGGGACTCTCCCAGCAGGAAGATGAGGAACCACAGGTAGGAGGCTGAGTGCAGCAGGAACTTCAGCACTGGGATCTTCAGCAGGCGGCCCAGCTACAGAGAGAGGTGGAGGCACGGCTCAGAGTCTTGCTGCATTTTAGCCTTCACCACCTCCTTCCGGGGCTTCCTGCACATCCTCCCTGCTTCCCAAATGTTCCTCTGCGCAATGCTCACCTACTTAACTGGGGGATGGGGACTCAGGCCTTCTTCTTCCCTAAATTCTAGTGCCAGGCCTGGGGCCTGGTTCCCAGCAGAATCTCTAAGGCATGGCTGTTGACTGAAGGGCGCTCAGATGGTATAATGGATGGTATAATGCTATCTGTGGGACTCAGGCTTTGGAGACCTCCGTCTAAATCCTGACTCTGCTACTCACCATGAGCCCTGGACATCTCCTGCATGAAACACAAGTGTGACACTTACCTTCCTGAGCTACTTCAAGTTACTTGATGGCCACACTCACAGGACCTGGTGCTAAGCACGTTTTGAATAAAATGACAGATGTTGTGAAATTTATTCTTAGTACCCGGGACTTGGGTGCCAGCCAGTAGCCGAGGCAGAGGAAGGGCATGGTGAGGAAGATGAGGAAGGCGACAAAGAGCTTCCAGATGGTGGTGCTTCCACGCCAGCCGGCCAGGTTCCCACACCAGATGGAGGACAGCACTTGCTGGCAGATGGGGTGTGCTACAAACTGAGCAGAGGTTGGGATATGAGTAGAGGAGCTGCCTCCTGGCTGGGGGTGGCAGGGGAGCCGGCCCCAGGTTAAGCCACCCACATTCCTCCCATGCTAACCACAAAGGCAGCTTGGCATGTGCCCATGGGCAGGCCCCATATTCTTCACTCTAAGTCAGGGAGCAGTGGTTGGGACTGGGACAGCAGTTGCAGGGCTCAATTCTGACTGGTCAGGAAGGGAAGGAGCTGTTGGAGGAGAGGCTGGGGGTTGAGGAGAGGGTACCGGCAGGGCTGTGGAACCATTGGAAGTGTTTGGTTAAGTTCCTGACTGGCCAGGGTGCCTGAGGGTGGAGGAGAGAAGGGATAAGGGGATGGGGGGGGCTAGAGAGGAGCCTGTCTTTAGCTTGGGGGTAAAGGGTGACTGTCCATTGAGAGAGGAAGAACAGCTGCACTTGACCTCCAAGTCCTGAGAGACTTAGGGTAAAGTGGAGGGAGCTACTGAAGTCTAACAGCAGGAAGTCTGGACTGAGATGACACAGCAGGCCAGAGGGGACCCAGGGGTCCTGGCCTGAGGATGAGGTCTGCCCTTGTGGGATGGGTTTTTGAGAGAGGTGAGGGTTGACATGAAGGGCAGGAAAGGAAGCTGAGGGGAGTGGAGAGGCCTTCACTTCTAGCCTTCCAGAGCCCAGGGAGAACCAAGGTGTAAGAGGGTCCTGAGGACAGGCAAAGGAATTGCTTAGGACTGACGCGGGTGAGCCCTAGAGACAGCCGGCAGGGGAGCAGGAGGGGCAGTGGCAGTGGTCAGGGGAGGTGACAAACAGCTGACCCGTTTCTGGTTGTAGTTCACAGCCAGTCGCAGCCTCGCCAGGTTGGGGATGCCCTCCTCAAAGGCCTGGCCCAGGCCCTCGGCCTCGGGCTCTGCGTCGCTGTCCTCTCCCAGGTCGTTGAGCACTGCTGTGACCTCGCTCTGGTTCCGACACATGCCCAGCAGCTCAAAGCCGTAGTCCTGGCACAGTGACTCCAGTGCAATGTACTCAGGCTGTAAAGGGGCAGGGTCGGGTGGGCACTCAGCCCCACTCCAGCATCCCGCTCCCTCCCCAGCTCTTCCCCCAAGCCGTGTCCCACTATCTCATGTTCCTTCCCCTCTGTCTCATGCCTTCTTCCCCAATCCTTGTTGCCATAGTGAGGCACCTTCTGCAGCAAGTTTGCTGATCTGGTGTCATCTTCCCCCTCATCACTAAGTCCCCTGTGCCCATTCTTTGTGCTTCCTTTTCTAATCTGTTTCTTGTCCCACTGTGACTCCAACTATGAAAAGAATTTATTAGCTTGCCTCTTCCATTAAGAAATATCAACAGTGCATTTCTTGACCGATTCAATCTTCCCATTCAGGAAGTGGCCAAGCTTCATCAACCTTAAATTGCTGTAGGTTTACTTTTTTAAAAAAGAATTATTTATTTATTTTTTTTAAAGATTTACTTATTTTTTATTACAAAGTCAGATATACAGAGAGACCTGGCGGCGTGGCCTAGCGGCTAAAGTCCTCGCCTTGAATGTGCAGGGATTCCCATATAGGCACCGGTTCTAATCCCGGCAGCTCCACTTCCCATTCAGCTCCCTGCTTGTGGCCTGGGAAAGCAGTGGAGGACGACCCAATGCTTTGGAATCCTGCACCCACGTGGGAGACCTGGAGGAAGTTCCTGCCTCCAGGCTTGGGATAGGCACAGCACCAGCCGTTGCACTCACTTGGGGAGTGAATCATAGGACGGAAGATCTTCCTCTCTGTCTCTCCTCCTCTCTGTATATCTGACTTTCCAATAAATAAAATAAATCTTTTAAAAAAATAAATACTTAAAAAACAAAAAACAAACAAAAAACCAGATATACAGAGAGGAGGAGAGACAGAGAGGAAGATCTTCCATCTGTTAATTCACTCCCCAAGTGGCTGCAATGGCTATTGCTGAGCCGAGCTGAAGCCAGAGCCTTTTCTGGGTCTCCCACGTGGGTACAGGGTCCCAAGGCTTTGGGCTGTCCTCGACTGCTTTCCCAAGCTATAAGCAAAGAGCTGAATGGGAAACAGGGCTGTCAGGACACAAACCAGTGCTCATGTGGGATCCCAGAGGACATTAGCTGCTAGGCTACTGCACTGGGCCCTAGGTTAACATTTTAAAAAAAGATTTATTTATGTTTATTGTAAAGTTAGATATATATAGAGGAGAAGAGACAGAAATATCTTCTGTCCAATGATTCACTCCCTAAGTGACTACAATGGCCAGTGCTGTGCCAATCTGAAGCCAGGATCCAGGAGCTCTTCTGGGTCTCCAGAAGGTGCAGGATTCCAAGGCTTTGCGCCATCCTCAACTGCTTTCTAAGGCTAGAAGCAGGGAGCTGGATGGGAAACAGGGCTGCCGGGACTAGAACCGGTGCCCATATGGGATCCTGGTGTGTTCAATGCGAGGACTTTAGCTACTAGGCCATGGCGTCAGGCCTGGTTTACATTTTTTTTTTAAGATTTATTTTATTTTTATTGGAAAAGCGGATATACAGAGAGGAGAGACAGAGAGGAAGATCTTCCGTCCGATGATTTACTCCCGAAGTGAGCGCAACGGCCGATGCTATGCCGATGCTATGCCAATCCGAAGCCAGGAGCCTCTTCCGGGTCTCTCATGCGGGTGCAGGTTCCCAAAGACTTGGGCCGTCCTCCACTGCTTTCCTGGGCCACAGGCAGGGAGCTGGATGGGAAGTGGGGCTGCCGGGATTAGAACCGGCGCCCATGTGGAATCCCGGGCGTGCAAGGCGAGGACCTTAACCACTGTGCCATTGTGCCGGGCCCCTGGTTTACATTTTTAAAAGAAACTCCTGAAGCTGGTGCTGTGGCTCTGGTGTCCTATTTGGGCACTGGTTCAAGTCCCAGCTGTTCTGCTTCCAATCTTGCTCCCTGATAGTGTGCTGGAATAACATGGAAGATGACCTGGGTGCTTGGGTCCCAGTTCCCACATGAGTGATCTGGAAGAAGCTTCTGGCTCCTGGCTCCAGGCTTCCCAGTTCTGGCTGTTGTGGTTATTTGGGGAACGCACCAGCAGATGGAAGCCCTCTCAGTTTTCTAGTCTTTGGAGGCCTTGAAAGCGCCTCCCGAGAGGTGCCCAGTGAGGCCAAGTGTCCTGGTAGCAGCTGGAGCCCCTCTCTGCCCTTCTTGTAGCTGCCACAAGCTCAATCTGCACACAGTGTCTGCACGGGGGTACCTAGGAGGTACTCAGTGAGCCTTGTGCTGCCTAGCATTGCCTCCATGTCCGTCCCGCTGTTTTTCTGTTTGTCTCTGTCCTCTCTCCTTCCCCATCTGGTGCCTCTTGGGGTACTCCTAACCCCCCCGCTGCCGGCACAGCAACCACTCTCTGTCACTGCAGTGACACCTTGTGGCTCCCCTTTAAGATGGTGGTGCCCTGTGACCAGAGATTGGGCTTCCCCCCTTCTCGGAACCCCCACTGCAGTGTCAACCAGAAAAGCAGACAGTGCCAGGGTCCTCCTTCCCCAGGGGAAGTGTGAGACACCAACCTTAAACTCAGGCTCCTTGCGTGCCAGGCGCCTGAGCTCGCGGCTCAGCTGGAAGGCAGCCAGCATGGCGTCCTCACTGGCGAGTGACAGGTGGGCCCTGCTGGCGATGCCGCGGTAGGTGTTGATACGGGACAGGGAGAACTTCAGCAGGTCGTAGCGCCGGGCATTGCTGCACTCGAGGCAAGCACAGGAAACTGGATGGGGCCGGGCAATGGTGTGGCCCTGGTCCATGAGCAGCTGGGCAATCTCGTACAGGTCCTTCTGGCAGGCCAGTGTGAGTGGAGTGACCCCGGGTGCAAAGCGAGAGCCATCAATGGATGAATCAAAGAAAGCCAGGGAGAAAGACCGGGTGTCCACTTTGCGACCCTTCTCCCGCTCCAGCCGGGCCAGCAGGCGACGCACCACAGCCGGCTGGTTGGTGTCCACTGCCACTAGCAGGGCTTCGTGGATCTGCCGGAAGTCAAACTTGACATTGGCCAGCAGCACATCAGTGATGGCCTCGTGGCCCAGGCGGATGGCCAGGTTGAGGGCTTCCCTCCAGGAGCGGTCCTCAGACTCCTCCACATTGCGCAGTGGGCCCCCCGGGCCACCACCAGCGGCCTCTGCCCCCGACTCCAGCAGCTGCTGCACAAGGCCCAGTCGCCCCTCCTGGATAGCCCCCAGGAGTAAAGGTGGGAACTTGAGCTTCTTATTCACGATCTCGGTCCAGTTGGGCTGAGGCTGAGTGGAATGGAAAGTATGGGATCTGAGTTTCTATCCCCCTTTATTTTGAAGCTTCCCTTATGCTTATAGCTTCTGATGCTCTCCTCCCAACCACCATCATGGTCTTGCTTGTCCCAGACATACACTTTGCAAAAATGGTCTGATTCCACACTTTATTGTGTAGACTTCCAGGTCAGGAAAAGTGTCAGAACTGGACAATTCCACCGTCACAGGAAAAGCCTTCTCCCCTGGCCCGAGTTGGACTAAAGGTGGTGATCCAGAGAAGGGGAAGGTAGTGGCAGGTACATGGGGTTGGCCTGGGCACTGGACCCTCTCTGTAGGCTCGCAGCATCTGCCAGGGACCCAGCTCCCATCTTGTTGACTTCAGCTCCCAGCTGCTGAGCACTCTGCAAGTCCCCAAGCCTCTCCGAGGGCAGGTCCAGACATGTCCACATGGGAGGGTCTCTGAATGGGAATTTTCCCCAAGCCCCTTGGCCCTGGCCAGGACAGCTAGCACTTTCCCGAACCCTCCTCTTCCACCTCAGCCCCTTAACTCTGCTGTCTACTCAGAAGACATCTTCTACCCTTGGCATCACACTGTCCCCTCCCCGCTTTCCTTTCTCTAAATCGAGCCCCATGTTTACTACTATTCATTCTAGGGAGTGGGTTTCCTCCCACTCACATGGTGACCCCTCCACCACCCACCTGATATTTAGCATCTCCCTTCCTCCTATCTGGGTCACTCTACTGTTTGATAGCTAGAAACAGGAGTGCTTGGGGGAAAGCCTCTTACCGTGAGTGGGTCCATGGCTGCACCCACCTCCGATCGCAGGGCCTGAAGGACTGATCTCTGGCTGTTTGCTGCCCCAACTGTGCCTAGCCTCCTCTGGGCTTCCCCTTCAGAACCCCACCCCGGGCCCTCCCTTTGCCAGGACCAGCTGCTCCCCCTCAGCCCCGTACCCTGGAGACCAGGGCGAAGTGATGTTAGTGCCACACAGTGAGATCTTCAGGGAATGAGGGAGGGCGTGGCTGGGAGGTGGGAATGGTGTTTGGCATTGTAGGCACCTCTGCTGCGACCACTTCCCCTTGTGGCTGGGTGGTGGGGCATGCCCAGCACTGCTCCAGCCTCAGACCCCCTCCTCCCTGCGACAGCTCAGACAGCATAAGGTTGTCCTCGCTCAGTCATCAATGTTAACATTGGACCTGTGACAAATAACTTGCACAAAGCCACACAGCAGTGCTGTTGCCTGATCCACAAAGGCTGTGGAGAGTCAATGCATGGGAGACCAGATGTCAGTCTCCTGCTCAAAACCCACTCACCTTCCCAGCCCCCTACGGAGTCTGATGGGTCAGGCCATGCTTTTCTTTTTTTCTGGGCCTGTTTCCCTTTCAGGCTAGTGGGCCTGGTGGTGTGTAGCGCTCCTCAGGAGGATGACATTCCGGCAGCCCCAGAGAGAGCACCAATGCCATGAAATTCCAAGGGGGGAAGGACTGAGGTATCTTTAGGAGAATCTGGTGCCATGGCGACAGGAGCCCTGACAACAGAGTTGAGAGCAAGCTGGGCCCAGAGGGAATGTGTGAGGGCGGCTTGGCTTCAGCAGTCCTTCCAGGCTGTCTAGAGATGCATTCCCCCACCTTAGTCCAGGGGCTGGGGCTCAGGACACAGGACGTTCCAGCTCATGCCTCGGGGGTCTCCCCACACATGCTGGCATGCTCCTCAACTTCTCTTGCTGAGAATGACAGTTGGCAGATAGGGCACTGGACCCAGGGAATGTGTGGCGAACTCTCTGGGGAGGACACCCATAGTACAGATGGCGATGAGGATCGTGACGATGAGGGAGAAGCTGGGCGAGGTGGGGTGGTCTCTCCACAAGTGGCCGCGTGCAGGGGGAGAAGCTCAATGCTGAAGGAGCCTATGTGGGGGGGAGACAGAGGTCAACAGAATCACACCTAGCCCTGAATGGATGGAACCGCTAGAAGTGGGCAGGAAAGCTGTGGCTGTTTTGACAGTAAGTTCACCATGGTGGCATGGGGACCCCCAGAGATACTGTCACACAGCCACTGTCCACTTCGGGCCTTGTAGTGTGCTAGCAGCCCAGTGACAGCTGCCCAGGGGCTTGTCTGCTGAGTTTGGTGGTAAAGAGAAGCCAGGGACACAAATAAGACTGATAGAGAGCAGAAGGCAAGCGGTACTGAGCTGCAGGGAAGCAGTGGTGCTCTGGGAGCTGGGCTGGTGGCATGGGTCTAGATCAGCAAAAGGCTTGGCAAGGAAGCTCCATGTGAACAGATGGACTCGGCAGAGTCTGTCCACAGAAGGATGATTAGGAAGGAGAGTCGAGGCTGAGTCCCTTTCTGATGGTGCTTTAGGTTTTGTGGGCAGGGCCCGTGGTACTCAGCTTAGCCAACCCAGTGTGGGCTGGTGCTCCAGAGAGCCTGTCTTGCATGACAGGCAGCTGCAATGCAGTTGCCCACCTGGAGCCGCCCTCCCTGCAGTCAGACCTTGTGACCACACAGCTCCATGCCGACATGGCTCACCTGCACAAAGTGGGCACTGTCCACTCTCCTGGGTACCACTGTGCTGGGCCTCGGATAGGTGCTGTTTTCTTGCTCCTGCCTTTGCTGTGCCCTTCCTGTTGAGCTTAGGGTTTGAGGTGGATTGAGGCCTGTAAAGAATAACAGTTAAAAGCTAGGCATCAGTAAGAGATCTTATAAGGGTGGAATGAGTCCACTTAAGGCAAGAAGAATGCCAGAAGACGGTGTGGATCCAGAATTTGCTGATCTAACACATATTACAGAATTCATCCTTTTAAAGTATACTTTCAGTGGTTTTGCTGTAGTTTCAAGGTTGTGTGACACCTAATTCTAGGATATTTTCATCACCCCCCCAAAAGAAATTCCAAGTTCATTAGCAGGCAGTTGCCATTCCTGACCCCACAGACCCTGTAAACTACTCTTCTATGGCAGGTTCCTCTATCCTGCATACTCCACTTGAACGGGATCATACCCTAGATGGTCTTTCGTGACTGGCTTCTGTAACTTAGCATATTTTCAAAGTCTACCCGTATCTCAGCAGGGCTCAATATATTACATTTGCTGGGTTGAATAATATTCCATTTATATAGACGTACAATGTTGTGTTGATCCATTCACTGGCTGGTAGACATCTGGGTGGATTCTACTTCCCCATAAATAATACTGCTGTGGACATTGGTCCCTAAGTCTTTGTGAATACTTGTTTGTTTTGTAATATTTGAAGTGAATCATTATTTCATTCTCTGTAACACTTCTTAAATACCCTAACTGGCAGACTTTTACCTTAATTAATTATTTTTAAAATTTTAATTTTTGGTGATGATTACATTTGGTCACGGTTGGAAGGACCGAGATTAAGGGAAAAGTGGGTGAAATTGTTGTTTCCAAATTTTCTGTTTCTTCTTGTTTCTGGGGGAAGGGGAGAGGTAGAGAGGGAAGCCACACCCAGTCTCCCAAATGACCCGGGGTAGGGAACTGCCATCTAATATCAACCCAGAGTCTGGTTGTGGTGCATGTTCCGAGGGTTCTGCCCAAGTGGTCTGTGTGGTTCTGAAACGCTGTCGATTTTGCTGATCCAAGGGTGAGGCAGTCTTCCCAATGTCCACTGAGTATCTTTGCATGTATTTATTGGCCATCCATATATTTGCTGCTTAAAAAAGTCTGTTCAGATCACTTGTCTATTTCAAAAATTGGGTTATTCATGTATTGTTGACTGATACTGGTTCTTCATATTCTGGATCTAAGACCCTTATCACATATTTAACATGCAAAAATTTTCTCCCAATTCCTGGTGTAGTATCTCTTCTTTCTTGGCAGTGTATTCTGAAGCAGAAAAGATCTGCACTTTGATGAAGTCCATAAGACAGGTCTGGCTCCCCACGGGCGGCCTCTTGACCTCACGCCAGGACTGACACCATGCGGATATGAATGTCCCTTCTCCAGTGGCCTCAGGTTCAGACTAAGACATCCAGATTCCAGGGACCACCCTGCTTACCTGCAGCAGGAGTGGGAGGGCAGCTGCAGCAGGATGTTGGGTCCTGGGGGGTGCAGAGGGAGAGTGGGGTCATTCACGCCGACCCTCTTACCGTGGATGCCGTACTTTCTGCCTCTTCCTTCTGCCCTCGTCATTCTCTGAGCATTGCTCCTCTGCTCTGGGCTCTGTGGTGGAAATAGTCATTAAACCAAACTTACTCATAAAAGGACCTTCACAAATGATGGTTCTTCTTTTAAGAATGTTCTCTTTTAACCTCACTCACCAAATCTTAGATGAAATGCTAATTCCTCTCAGGCACTTCTGCTGAATTCTCTAAATCTGTGCTTTTCTTTCAAAGTACTTGTCATATGGGCCAGTACAATGGCTCAATTGAGTAATTCTCCCCCTGCAAGCACTGGGATCCCATATGGGTGCTGGTTCATGTTCTTCCCACCAAGGGCCCGCTTGTGGCTTGGGAAAGCAGCAGAGGATGGCCAAAGCCTTGGGACCCTGTACCCGTGTGGGAGACCTGGAAGAGGCTCCAGGCTCCTGGCTTCAAATCAGTGCAGATCCGGCCATTGTGGCTGCTTGGGGAGGGAGCCAGCGGATGGAAGATCCTTCTCTCTGTCCCTCCTCCTCTCTGTATATCTGATTTTCCAATAAAATAAATAAACAAATAAATAATTAAAAAAAATTACTTGTCATAGTTGTAGGTTAGAATCCTTTGTGTGCTGTGGACATGTCACTTTTCAGTGGGGTAGGAACACTGCTCTTTTTTTTTTTTTAAAGACTTATTTATTTGAAAGTCAGAGTTACAGAGGGAGGAAGAGACAGAGAGCTTCTCTCAGTTCGTTCATGCAGGTCTCTAACACAGGTAGCAGAGGTCCCATGCTCGGCTGGTCCTCCCAGGTCATTAGTAAGGAGATGGATCAAAGTGGAGTGGTGTGGCCTGATGGTTAAAATCCTCATTTGTGTGGGCTGGGATCCCATATGGGTGCCAGCTTGTGTTCTAGATTCTCTGCTTCCCATCCAGTCTCTGCCTGTGGCCTGGGAAGGCAGACAAAGATGGCCCAAGGCTTTGGGACCCTGCACCTGCACAGGAGACCAAGGAGCTCCTAGCTCCTGGCTTTAGACCAGCTCAGCTCCGGCCATTGTGGTTGCTTGCAGAGTGAATCAGCAGATGGAAGATCTTTCTCTGTTTCTCCTCTCTATATATCTTCCTTTCCAATGGAAAAAAAAAAAAGGCGAAACAGCCTGGACACAAACCCAGCACTCCTATGGGTTGCCAGTATTGCAGGAGGCAGCTTTATCTGCTACTCCACAAGGCTGGCCTCAAAAATACTGCTATTTTATATCCTGTGGTATCTTGGCCACCTAATATCTGGCATATAAGAGATGTTCTATATATACCTGTCAAGTGAGTGTGAGGAAAACCAACAACCATTTGTCCAGTCACTTGGAATTTGTGAGTGCTTTACAGCACTGAAATAAGTCAAAGTGCTGTGAAAGCCCCACCCCATAGTGGGTACCCCTGGTTGGTTAGTTCCCTTCCCTTCTCCATCTCTTAAAAGTGATACACTCCATCTTTCCCAAGTGGAGAGGATTCCCCCAACTGCCGCCCCTGGGTATTCAAGCCTCGCCTGGAGTGGAATTGGACCTTCTACCTGCTCCTGATGAGCAGGACTTGGCCAATGAAGTGGGCCAGTGCTCCTGTGGTCAGGTTGCCCAAGGCTGACCTCTGCCTATCCAGCCCTTCTGCTCATCTCCATCCAACCGGCTGCCAAGCTGCTCTCCTGAGAGGCTCCCACAGTCGAGGAGTTGAGGCAGGCCCCAGGCCAGCAGCCCCTGAGGAATTGGGCCCCCCTGACATGCACGTGAGTGTGTCCTGTGCAGCAGAGTCTCGGGGTGAGCAAGCTCATGGCACACAGAGCAAGAGTGTCAACCCCCAAGCACCACAGACCACAATGTGTCTTAAGCCACCAAGTTTTGGAGTGATGCGGTACAGAACAATAGATAACCAGTTATCTCCTATTTTTACAACAACATGATAAGACTCATTATTTCATTGATTTCTTTAACTTTTCAAAATGATTGAAAAATTTCAAAAGTGTTTTGAACTAAGTGATGAACCATCCCGTTTCTTCATTTTTCAGTGAAGCCCTTGCTGGTCGTCTTCTCCCTTTCTATAGTAAAAAGAACAGGAAGTTTGGGACTTGAACCCTGGCCCTGACACTCAGAAAATATAACCCCTCTGAATTTTAGATTGTCTTGGAAAATGAGGATGGCACAGCTACTCCATAACTTCGTTAGAATATTAGGTAAAACTAGTGAGAATGTTTAACAATGTCTGGTGCAAAGAAGAATTCCAAATATTTTTTAACCCTTTCTTCTGTGATACGGCTGCACAATTCCTGTACCTTATGTCTCTATTAAACTCCATGCACCACCACACTGACGTAGTTGTCTGTCTTTCCTGCAAGAGGCTCAAGTCCTATTGCTTTCATTCCTTCACACTGAAGATGAAGGAACTGAGGCCCAAAGAGCCCAGGGTTCTAGGCTGGCAGGGCTTGAGTTGCTACACACTGTTTTGCTTCTCTTCTGCTAATGGAACATGCTGATCTCTTCTCCCACATGAAGTCCCACTGTGAGTCTGCCTGTTCAGCAACTGCTAGATCCAGAGAGGAAGGACATTGCTGGGCCCAGGGAAGAGCAGGTCAGGGGGCTCACCTGTACTGTCCACGTGACTGGGCCCTGGGTCTGGGCAGTGGCTCTGTGGGCTTGCCACTCGGGCTGGAGGCGCCCTTCGTGCTGCTGAGAGCACCATGTTGGCTGACCGTCCCAGGGCCCCTGGCTGCAGCTGCTTTAGGAAATCATGGAGCTTTGTCATTTCCTTGGTGTTCCTGCAAGGAAACACAGTACTTGTTTTCAGGCAGGAAAGCCAGTTGGATACACAGAGAGGGTCGGGCCTAGCTTGTGTGGTTCACTGCGAGGACACGGGTATGTGTGCTCATTGGTGACTTGATAGTCTCTTTCAAGATTTGAGAAGTGGCCAGGAGACTTCTGCTCTTCTAGCTACGTACATCTGGGGATCTGGGAAGAAAGTCCTCCGGATGGAAGGATTAGCCAGCCAGGGGCTGTGGTCCACGGCAGGGTCCTCAGAAGAGACCTGAGAGAGAATGGAGAAACATGAAATACCAAGGTTTGCCACTAGGGGACACTGCCACCTAGTGCCAGGGCCTACTTGTGCCTGGCAACTTTTCTTGTGAGCACAGGCACATTCCTGAATAAGAGCTAAGTTCTTTTTTTTTTTTTTTTTTGAAGGGCGCCCTTATATTTATTATTATTTTTTTAATATCCAGGATTTTTTTCTTACATTTTACTATTATTATTATCATTTTATGATACAATTCCATAGGCTCCTGGCATTTCCCTTATCCCCTCCCCAATTCCCTCCCCCGCAAGAGCTGAGTTCTGGAACTGTGCAAAGGGTTTTGCCATGAGCCGGAAAAACCCTGGGTTGAAAGTATGTGTACTATTAGGAAGAAAGGGAGACTGATGTCAAATGCAAATTTTTGAAAACAAAACTTGTAAATTACATACCAATGTATGTAAAAGTCATTCATATAGGTATAAAAATCATTCATCTCTACATATCTTTGTGAGAAATAAGTCACACATATGTGTTTACATATAAATAGTTCTACTTTGAATGAACATACATACTACCTTACTAACTATTTTTAAATAATTTGTTTAGGGGCCAGTATTGGATGTGGTGGGTAAAGCTGCCACCTGCAATGTGGACATCTCCTAGAAATGCCAGCTTGAGTCCCAGCTGCTCCATATATGACCTGGATCCCTGCCTGGGAAGCAGTGGAAAATGGCTCAAATCCGTGGGACCCTTCCATCTGTACAGGAGATCTGAAGAGCTGTTGGTTCTTGGCTTTGGACTGGCCCAACCCAACCTTTGCTGCCACCTGGGGAGTAAATCAATGGACAGAAGATTGTCCCCAGCAGTCTTCAATGGCCATGCTGAGCCAGGCCAAAGCCAGGAGCCTAGACTCCCAATCTGAGCCTGCTTCGTGAGTGGCAAGGGACCCAAGTCCTTGAGCCATCAACTGCTGCCCCAAGGTTCCACGTTAGCAGGGAGCTAGAGGCGGTGCTGAGCCCTTGCACACAGATAGGGGACACAGGCCAAATGCCTGCTGTAATGGCTAATATTTTCTGATTGCCAAGTGAGTCTCTTCTTGGACCTTGGATTAATTTAAAAATACCTTGTTTAATTTTCCAGGGTTTTCATTGTTTCCTGATCTTGGTTAAGAATTTTACAGTGAATAGAAAGGGTGACTCCAAGTAAGTGTAGACAGACTATTTAACCTTAACTCTAAATGGAATTAATCATTGGCAAGTTTGTGTCTGAGGAGACTAGGCAGCGTTAAGTGGTCTGCACTCAAATGCACTCCAGGACTTCTTGAGCAGGGTGACCTGAGACACCCATTAAATTACCTCTATTTTTGTTTCCTTAGTGGAAGACCGGAGATTATGAGCGCCCTATTTCACAGTGTTAAAAACCCTTGTTTTGCTTTCACTGTAATGTACCAATTAAAATGACACACTGGAAACAAGCCTATGACGCTTTAGGTATCACAAGTTACAAAATCTAGGGTGAAAAATAAAAAAATAAAAAAACCAAACAAAACAACAAAATCTAGGGTGGGCATTGTGGTACAGCAGGTCAAGTCACTGCTTGGGATTCCAGAGTGTTGGTTTGTGTCCCAGCTACTCTGCTTCTGATCCAGTTCCCTACTCGTGTGCTTGGGAAGCAGTTGAAGCAGTTCAGCCTCCTTGGCGGGACAGTGTGTGGCCTAGTGAATTAAGCTTCCAGCTACAATTCTGGCACCCAATAAGGACACTGGGACCCAGAGTTCCTGGCTCCTGACTTCAGCCAGGCCCAGCCCTGGCTGTTTTGGCCACTTGGGTAGTATACCAGCAGATGGAAGATCTCTGTCACTATGCTATTCAAACACATAAAGGCATAAACCTTTTACAAATTCGTTAGAATGAGTGCCACCTGCTAGTTTCCACGTCCTGAGTGAGTCCTGTAGGACTGCTTGGGGAGCTCCCTCCCGTGACTTCCACGGTCCCCACCATGCACATGCCACCCTGCCTATGCCACCTTATGCCTATGGGGCTGGAGCTGCTGACTCCTGTCCTCCTCCATCCACTGTGGTCCTGGAGGTGCAGGGTTATTCACATTGCCAAAATGGAAAAATCTGCAACGCCCTTATTTACCACAAAACTAGGACAACCAGATGCCTGGGACATTCCTCCTTTGCCTGTTGTCTTGTTATAATTGTGAACAGTCCTCTCTGGTGCTCCAGTGTCCTGGTTTGGAGGACATATTTTACAGGGCTTCTATCTACAGCTGCCCTCTCAAAGGTCATTTGTACAATGAACATTTATACTAACAGCCTTCTTTGCTCTGGGTTCTGTTTGAGGTGCCAGGAATGTGTTACGGAACCAGATAGACAGGTCTCTAATCTCATGGAGTTTCCATTTCATTCACCAGCCACAATGCCAGACATCTGGCTCTATTCATGTTAGCTCACACCATCACAGGATGGAAACATGGTGGGGCACACGCAACTGTCTTGTCACATTTTTTTTTAGCCCTTTCCCAATGCAGGAACAAATCTCAGACCAAGCTGCACTTGGACACAGTTCCCTGGGTCTCTCTCAGAGCTGCACGACAGGAGTATTTGCTGCTCACTGTTCTTACTCCATCTCCTCCTCCCGCTGCACCCTACTCTTCTCAGTAACCTCACCAAAGGGACCCTGTGAGGCGCCTGACTTTGACCTGGGAATCTCTGGGTTGTCAGATGCTTGAAGCTTCCAACAAATATACTGTGTGCTTGAGAAGCAGCGTGGCAATGATGACAGGAGACCCGCTTTCTGCTCCCTTCTCTGCTCTTATTCACTATGTGACTCTGCCTGTATGCTAGTCTCATGTAACATGAGCTGATTGGGGCCGGGTGATAGTGAAGGATTTTTTTTTAAAAAAGATATATCTATTTGAACAGCAAAAGAGGGAGAGACTGGGCCCGGTGTGATGGCATAGTGATTAAGGTCCTCGTCTTGCACGCCCAGGATCCCATATGGGCGCCGGTTCTAATCCCAGCAGCCCCGCTTCCCATCCAGCTAACTGCCTGTGGCCCAGGAAAGCAGTGGAAGACGGCCCAAAGCTCTGCACCCGCGTGGGAGACCCGGAGGAGGCTCCTGGCTTTGGATTGGCTCAGCTCCAACTGTTGCGGCTGTCTGGGGAGTGAATCATCGGACGGAAGATCTTCCTCTCTGTCTCTCCTCTCTGTATATCCACCTTTCCAATAAAAATAAAATAAATCTTAAAAAAAAGAGGGAGAGATTTCTTCTGCTGGTTTTCTCCCTAAATGGCCCCAATGGTTGGAGCTGGGCAGGTTTCTTGCAGGTCTCCTACATGGGTCTTTGGGTCCAAGTACTTCAACTATCTTTCGTTGCTTCTCCAAGTGCTTAGCAGGGAGCTGGATCAGAAATGTTGTAGTGGGCCCGGCGCGGTGGCGCAAGTGGTTAAGTCCTCGCCTTGCACGCCCGGGATCCCATATGGGCGCCGGTTCTAATCCCGGCAGCCCCGCTTCCCTTCCAGCTCCCTGCCTGTGGCCTGGGAAAGCAGTTGAGGACGGCCCAAAGCTTTGGGACCCTGCACCCGCGTGGGAGACCCGGAAGAGGCTCCTGGCTTCGGATCGGCATAGTATCGGCCCGTTGCGGCTCACTTGGGGAGTGAATCATCGGATGGAAGATCTTCCTCTCTGTCTCTCCTCTCTGTATATCCGCCTTTCCAATAAAAAATAATAAAAATAAATCTTTAAAAAAAAAAAAAAAATAAATCTTTAAAAGAAATGTTGTAGTGGGGACACAAACTGACATATATATCAGATGCCAGATTATAGGCTATGTTACAATGCCAGTCCCTAAGTGTTTTTTTTGTCTCCAAAATTCTGTAACTGTAAGGGAGTTTGGGACGTATAGGTGTTGAAAGAAAAAGTCTGATGAAAGCTCTAGCTCATCAAGAACTTCTAAACATAGTATAACATGTTGGGATCCAAAAAGGATTTTGGTATGGCCCAGGAATGAGTGGCTCTAAAGTGTATGTACACTGGATTCACTCGTACTTTCCACAAGTGAGAGGGAAGGGGGAGTTCACTCTTACCTGTAAGAAAGAATAACAAGGGGCTAGCATTGTGGTGTAGTGAGTAAAGCTGCCACATGCAGCCCCAGCTGCCCATGTGGGGAAGCTGCTTTCACAGTTTCTGTCCCAGTTGCTCCACTTCAATCCAGCTTCCTGTTAATTGCCTGGGAGAAGCAGTAGAAAACGGCCTGAGTACTTGGGTTCTGCATCTATGTGGGAGACCTGGATGGAGCTCCTGGCTGTGGCCTGGCCCAGTGCTAGCCATGGGGCCATCTGAGGAGAAAAGCAACAGATGGGAGATCTCTCTTTCTCTGGCTCTATAACTTTGACTTTAAAAAGAAGCAGATGAATCTTGAAACAGTAGCAAGCCCACCAATGCTTGTGTGTGTGTGTTTGTGGTGTGTATATGTCTGTTCTCAGTCAAGCTTCTTAACCAGAAGCCCTAGGGAAGGGAAACATTGCATCCTTGCTTCACCATTCTACGTACCTGGCTCAGCTCAGAGTTCCCCGCAGCTGTGGGATCCATCGCACCGTCATCTGAGGAGTCCAGAGATGACCGCACCCGCAGGAAGGCCAGGCCAAAGGACTGTTGGCGTGTGAAGGGCTGGGAGCAGGTCAGGCGAAGCCGATCCCAGGACTCCCCTGAGGCTGGAGCCAAGAAGTCATCTCCAGGATAAAAGAGAAAGAAAAGGGAACAGGGAGAAGTAAACACACAAATGGAAGGAGGAAGGGGAAAGGAGGTTAGCATTGTGGCAAGCAAAGACAAGATGGGGACTGTGTGGAGTGACCTCCAACACGAGGATGAAGGGAAGTGATCTGTAAATGTGCCCCTTGGGTCATGATGGAGCTGAGCGGGCCAGTCAGGGCCTGCAGACCCAGGGCTTGCCTCCCCACGGTCACCCATCTGTCCCAGCCTCACCCCACTCAGCATGAGTATATCCTCATCCTGTGCCCCTCCAGGAGCCTCATCAGCATCTCACTGTAGTGGTAGGGTGTGGGGCCCCCTGCTCACCCACTGGTTTAGTCGAGACCCCTCCCTCACACCACAGACTCATACCTACTCAAGTGTGTGAATCGCAAACCCTCACACCTTTAGGTCCTCAACACTATCTAGTCTCATGTCCTCCACCTCTGTTCCCCTCACCTGATATCATTCTCCCTTTACTGTATTTTAAACATCTCCAATGGAAGCCCAGATAAAGCCTTACTAGACAGTAAGTCCCTAGGAGCCAGGTGTCAGATTTTTTTTTTTTTTCTTGGTGCAGGGCTTCATGAACGCAGAGACTGACATCAACTTAAGTCAGGAAATGCTGTTTGCCAAGTAACTACAACCACCTTGTAGTGTCCTGTCACCTGAATACTGATCCTGGGCCTATACTTATAAATGTTTATATGAACAAGAACAGTAATCTGCTAGCATATGCTCTGTTGGGCTCCATCCTCCATTGCACAAGTTATGTATAAACATGAATCATGGCTTATAATATCCCCAGCTAACATGCGTCCCCATCACACAACTCACACACAAGCATATCATTCACTAACCACCCTCTCCCCGTGACCATCTGCCCCCAAGTCCCCCCAGCAGCGCTTACAGCCCTCTATTTCTGTCTCTTTCTCCTTTGCCCTCTTACCATGCTTGAACATACGGACTCCTGAGCGGTTCTTCCCTTGCTTTGAATCAGTTCGGGACATCAGCATGGTGGCAGGGAGCAGGGTGACAAAAGGCTTGTCCAGAGACCAGGAAGACCGACCCACATCAATTTGCAGGAAGGCACAGCCACTGTTCCCTGGAGAAAAAGGATTTGGGAGAAGGTTAAGGTCAAGAGAATCGCGTAGGAGGAGGGCACTTCTCCGCCTTAGAGAGGGCTGGAAGCCACACCAAGTCTGGCAATGTGTGGAGCTGAACAGAGAGTCAGTTACTGAAAGGGGACGAGACGTCGGTCCACCAGCACCATGGACCCTGCCCAAGGCAGAGGAGCATGTTTGCCATTCACACCAGGCAGGGCGTATTCCACGGGGGCTGCTGAGCCGGAATGGACTGGGACATGTGAGAGGTGTGGTAAGTGGAGAACACCATTCCTGTGCCCCACCCCACCTCCCTGCAGAGATCTCCCAACCCCCAGAAACTGACCCACGTCGATGTAGCCAATGGGCACGGCCCTCTCCAGCTGGAGTTCCACTCTGAGTTGCCCACTCTTATCCTGAGGGCAGCTGAGCCAAGGTCCCTTCTGACTGTCTGGGTTCAGCAAGTTCTCCACAGGATATTTGGGATCCTGAATCCAAGAAAGGAGAAGAGTCAGGAACTTCCCAGAACCCACGGGACTAAAGAATGCTCCTGAGAGGGGTGCCTACAACCTCAAGCCTTCTAGGAATCCTGGCCCAACTGAACAGGCATGGGGAGCCTGGTGTGGTAGCCTAGTGGCTAAAGTCCTTGCCTTGCATGTGCCAGGATCTCAAATGGGTGCCGGTTCTAATCCTGGATTCTCCGCTTCCCATTCAGCTCCAAGCTTATGGCTTGGAAGAGCAGTAGAGGACAGCACAAAGCCATGGGACCCTGTACCCAGAGGAAGCTCCTGGCTTCAGATCAGCTTAGCTCAGCTCTAGCGGTTGTGGACACTTAGGAAGTGAACCAACGGATGGAAGATGTTTCTCTCAGTCTCTCCTCTCTTGTAAATCTGCCTTTCCAATAAATAATAAATAAATCTTTTTAAAAAAGAGAAATAAGCAAAAAATTAGGGTGCACTCAGGGATACATGCATCCCATATGAGTGCCTGGCTTACGTCTGGCGCCTTTGCTTCTGGTCCAGCTTCCTGCTGAGCTGCACCCTGGGAGGCAGCAGAGCATGGCTCCAGTGTTTGAATCCCTGTCACTGACATTGGAGACAGGATGGAGTTCCAGGTTCCTGGCTTCAGTCTGACCCAGCCCTGGCTGCTGCAGGCATTTGGTGAGTCATCTGTGGGTTGGAAGATCTTTTTCTGTTTGTCTATTTGTTTCTTTCAAATCAAATGAGAATTAAAAAAAGAAGAAGAAGAAAAAAGAAAAAAAGGAAAGAGGGCCCAGCACAATGGCTCAATTGGCTAATTCTTCCCTTAAACGTGCTGGAATCCCATATGGCTGCCAGTTTGTATCCTGGTTGTTCCACTTCTCATTAGGCTCCCTTCTTGTGGCCTGGGAAAGCAAAAGAGGATGGCTCAAAGCCTTGGGATTCTGCACCCATGTGGGAGACCTAGAAGAAACTCCTTGTTCCTTGCTTCAGATCAGCTTGGTTCTGGCACTGTGGCCATTTGGGAAGTAACCCAGGAGATGAAAGATCTTTCTTTCTGTCTCTTCTTCTCTTTTTAAATCTGCTTTCCAACAAAAATAAATAAATCTTTAAACAGAGAAAAACATCATGCCTTGAAATGATATACCTGAGAGGAAAATGACACCACATGGCTGATCTTCACGGGAGCCATGGTAGACTCAGGAACTGTCCCAGTACAAGGCAAAGATGCTTTCTCCCAAGATTTCTTCCGTCTCCACCTTGGTACTGCCTATGTTTTCGTCCTGTAAGTTTCCAGAAGAGGAAGATTCCTCACATTACTCCTGTAGGAGAGAAGAAAAGAAAAATAAACTACCCCATGATTGTTTCAATTAACAGGGGCCAATGTACAGTAGTCAGTTTGTCCATTTCTGGTGGTCTCGATGGGTCAGATGGGAATGGTGGGCAGGACGCAGATGTACACCAGCTGAGGGCTCCAACAAATGGGATCCACTGGAGTGCAGTCACAGGAAGCACAGGCACAGGTAAAAAGTGATATATCCCAGTGTTACCACTCGGTGTACCTGTAGGTGAACCTCCACAGCATGTGCTTTAACAGATGCCTGTTCCTGCAGGCCAGTGCACAGGAAGGGCGGGAGGGAGATAGCAAATGCTCAATAGACAGGAGTCTCTTTTGTTCTTTCTTCCTACACAGTGAATCTTCCTAAATCAGCTTTTCATTGAGCTGGTCCTCTACTCAAAACTTCTAATTGAAATGACTCGCTGATGTATGCAAATTCCTTGTGTTAATGGTAGGTACTGAAATACTATTCCAGGTTGGATCTTCAAAGTGTCTACAGCATACAAGTCTGCTTCATGCCTAATTTCCTCATGATATTCATTAAATTAGGTATTTTATCTAAATCACTATTTTGCCTATTTGCACAAACACATATTACAATAATGAACTCTCTTGTGTCCTTCTTACCTTCAAGAATTCTTCAAAAGAAGTGTTTTAAAGTTGTCTGAATGTCTTTAGGTAGGATCATCTCTCGTCAAATTTTTATAATAGCCCATTTTACTTATTTATTATCCACCTAACCCCTAAAAATATGAGCCAATAGCCTGATATACTGCTGATTATGTCTTTTTGCCTGGGGTCAGTGTCATGGTACAGTGAGCTAAGCATCCCTACTGGAGTGGTAGTTCAAGTCCTGGCTGCTTCATTTCTGATCCAGCCAGTGTGACAGTGAAAGTAGGAGAAAATGGCCACCTACAAGGGAAACCAGGAGGAGTTTGTGGCTCCTGGTTTCAGCCTTTTGCAAACCTGGCAGTTGTGTGGCTGTTTGAGCATTGAACCAGCAGATAAAAAAGTCCTTTTTTGCCCCTTCTTTTTCTGTCACTCTGCCCTTTAATAATCAAATCTTTAAAAATGTCTTCTTGCCTACTCCCCCCAAAAATATTTGTTTTTCCAAGACTTTACTCATGCCATTGCATCTGCTTGGAATGCTTGTTAAATTGAACGCATTCTGGTACTCAAATGTCACCTCCCCTCTGCTTAATCAGTACAAGGTGACAGCTCCAGTTTGCCAATTCTCATTTAACATGTCACGTGGAGTATCTTGTATCACAACTCTAGGTCCTATGTCCCTTGACAAACGGTAAGTTCTTGCAGAACAGGTTGCATGTCTGATTGATTTCTGTGTACCCAATCCACATGGTTCTGTAAAAGGGAAAAAAGCATGTGTGTTCTCACTGGTAGATGTCTACTTACTGACATTGGCAATTGAGCTCCAGAGGGCTGGCAGTCAGACAGTAGTCAAAGTAGTCAAAGTGGGGCAGGTCATGGCAGTGGCAACAAACCCTGAGTGAACATTATCCACATGTCAGGCATTGCAGTCCATGTGCTGCTAAGGCTTCAAGAGAGAAGAAAGGATGCGACCTGCATCACCTCACCAGCCCTGTAGATTAGCCAGAGCTGATTATTCCCAAGATAGGAACTCACTGAGCATTAAATAGTTCCCCCTGCTCTCTGTTGGGTATTGGAGCTGTTAAATCCAAGAAATATGGTATAGTCTCTGTTTGGAAAAACTCACAGTGTGGGTTGGGTATCCTTAATCTGAAACCTAAAATCTGACCTGCCCTAAACCTTCAACTCTTGAAGTGCTTCCACAAGTGGAAAATTCCATCCCTGCCCTTCGTGGGATGGACTGCAGTCAAAACACAGACCTGCTAAAAATAGGTTATGAAACCGTTAGGCAGTATTCATAAGGCTTACCTGAAATACAAATGGATTTCATGCTTAGACTTGTGTGCCTTCCCCAAGATATATGCAAATATTACTAAATCCAGAAAATACTTCTGGTCCCAAGTTTTTGACATAAAGCATATTCAATCTGTAGGTATTTGTTATTATGATGCAAAACTCCCTGCCACCTGTTGTCTGTCACCAACATGTTTGTTTAACCAGCCTCAAACCACATTGTTGGCCGTTTCACTGAATTAATGAAACAATTAGTTAATCATTTAAGTAATATTTTAGGGAGTGTTTAGTAGGTACCTGGCACTGGGCCAGGTGGTGGCACACAGTGGAGAAACAGGCACGAACAAACTTATCCATGGAGCTCTTCAGCTGTCAATGTGTGGACGATTTTCCAAGGACTGAGTTCTTTTGGTGATCACCTTCACAAATGCTGCTGTTCTTGTTGTTGGTGATTGTCTCCCCTGCATGCCTCGTTACTAAGCAGTGAGTTCTTTGAGGAGACGGGTTTCTGTCATGCTCATCATCTTCCTCAGAGATGTGCTGAAACATGGGAATCAGTAAACATCTATTGAAAAAGCAGTAAGTCACTGCGACTCCAATCAGAATTTTAGCACAAATTGCTGGTACACACGACGAACTCAACCACTAAAGGGTCACAAGCTGTTAAATACAATCCTAAACAGAAAGATCAAACAAATGAAGTATTGGAGGGTTATACTCTGGCACATCAGGTTAACTTGCACCCTGCAATACTGGCCTTCCATATCAGGGTGCCAGTTTGAGTCCTGGCTGCTCCACTTCCAATCCAGCTCAATTGGAAGCCTGGGGAAAGCAGCAGAAAACGACCCAAACACTCGGGCCGTTGCCATCCGTGTGGGAGACCTGGATGGAATTTCAGGATTCTGGCTTTGGCCTGGCCCAACTCTGGCTGTTGTGATCATTTGACAGGGGAGGTAAACCAGCAGATGGAAGATTTCTTTCTCTATATCTCATTCATCCTGTCACTTTGCCTTTCAAAGACAGACATACACACACATATATATACACACACACATACATGTATATATGTTCAAAGATTTACTTATTTTTATTGGAAAGGTAGATTTACAGAGAGGAGAAACAGAGAAAAAGAACTTCCATTGCTGGTTCACTCCCCAAATGGCTGCAACAGTAGGAGCTGAGCCAATCAAAATCCAGGATCCTCCCCGCTGCATCTCCCATGCAGGTTCAGGGTTTCAAAGCCATCCTCCACTACTTTCACAGGACATAAGCAGGGAGCTGGTAGGGAAGCGGAGCAGTCGAGACATGAACAGGTGCCCATATGTGATCTTGGTGCATGCAAGGCAAGGATTTAGCATTAAGCCATGTGCCTGGCCCTATCAAATATATATATATATATATATATATTTGGGTTGGGTTATATATATATAAATATATATATTTATATTTTCAAGTAAACCTTAAAAGAAGAAATGTTATAAATTACACGAGACTACTGTTTAACAGTTGAAAGGAATGAGTTAGCTGTAAATAAACGTACACATTATTCTCAATAATATTGAGTGAAAGTTATAGAATGAAACAGGAAATAACATTGGGAAACAAAACTACATATTGTGTAGTATATATACGTAATTTCTTAATGGACTGGGAGACACACAGCTAATTCATAATAAAAATTTCTGGGGAAGATGAGAGTAGAAAAGACAAATTCAAATTATCTTTGTATGATTTTCAAGTAAATTAAATGCTTGGGGATGAGGTAAGTATTACCCCTTTAATTGACGGTTGGCCCCCAAACAATGCTGGCCAGTATTCTAGGAGTTCTGTTGAGCCCACGGGGCATCCTAACCGTGTTCAGGGAGTAGATCCAGCCTGGACAGCTGATGGTGTGGGCAGCGGGGCTACAGACCAAGTAGTAGTCCAGGTTTACAAGGAACAGGGGGTTGAAAATCAGGTGGGAAGGGATACGCATGTATGGGACAGAACGAGTAAGACATGCAGAGAGGGGTGGGGGTTAGAGTTGAGCCCGCAGGGTGTGGAAACGTGTGCAAATCCTGCATTTCAGCCGCTCTCAGCATCAGACGCCGGAGCACCCCGGCTGCTCCCACAGCTCCCCGGAACACGCAGCTCCGTCCGCTCCCTCAGTAGCCATCCGTCCCACCTCTCGGCCACTCCCCGCTCCATCCACAAACCTCAACGCTCTTCTGCTGGGTCCAGGAACCTCAACGAGCCTCTACAGCCTCAGCTCTGGGAACACAATCCTATTCTCCCGCCAATTCGGCTCTCTAACCTCTGCCTTCCGACCTCTAGCGTCACTCTTCCGCCTCTCGAAGCTCAAGAACCCATTCGGGGGCCGAAGGAAACCGCGTTTCTGAAAACACGACACCCTTTAAGGTAAGAAGGCAGATGCGTCTGCCAGAAAAATATAAGCGTCCGTGTATGTGTTTCTCTATATTTTCACTGTCAACAACTGTTGAGAGCAGACTTAACTCTTCCGGGTCAAATTCAGCGCCTCACGGGAAATGTAGTCCTAAGTCCCCCACACATCTCACGATGGAGCGCCGCGCACACTGTCGGTGTAGGGACTTTTCTTTCTAACTTTCCAAAGGGGAGAGTCCAGCTTCTCATTTTCTGAGTATTTTCCGCCGCCTCAGCGAGGAATGCATGGAATTGTTCCTCGGCGAACCCGAGTTGAGTAGCAGCAGACGGCCTCCCGGTCCCTGACAGATCGCTGCCTATTTCTATGCCCCGCCCTCTCGGCTGGAGTCCGCGGCGCTGATTGGCTGGGAGCACCTTGAGCGGCGGAAGCAGCTGGCGTTCGCGGGGACGCGGCGGGGCGGGGGGAGGAGGCGAGCCGTGAAGATGGCGGCAGTGGTGGAGGTGGAGGTTGGAGGTGTCGCGGGGGAACGGGAGCTGGATGAGGTAAGGAGATTTGGGAGACGAAGAGAGATTCAGCCTTAAAAGGGAAGGGGGTGAAAGTGAGGTGTCGGAGGAGGGGGTTGCTAGGGAAGTGGGAAGGATCCTGAAAGGGGGAAAACTGGGGGGCGGGTGTGCCAAGAGAGCAATGCGGGGACTCTCCCGACTTGGGGTCCTCGAGGCGCTCGTGGGCGCACAAGACTTGCAGTATCTTCAAGGCTGAGGATAGAAGACACGGAGAGGGACCTGAGGGGCCGGGACTGGTAAGGCTGAGGTTGTGTGCTGGGGTCCCTGGGTGGGACTGCAGGGTGGAGCTGTGGCTGACGAGTTGGAGGGGCGTGGAGTTCCTCCGGGAAGGCCAGGCTTGGGCGAGGGGTGAGGACTCTGTCTCGGCTCGGCCTGGGGGTGGGGCCACGGAGCGGGGAAGTGGATTCACCTGCTGGTTATAGAGCATTGACTGATTTTTAGATGGGAACTTTTTCACTATTTACCCTTGCACTTTAGTGCTTGCACATTGTGTATGCTCGACAAAGTTTCGGTTAACGAATGCTAGAATGGACGAAGGCATGATTGTATACTGAAATTCATTCATTCATTTCCTTAAAAACCATTGTATCACCTTTCTGCGGAAACCTGGGTAGGTGCTGGGGGGGAAGGAGTCCTTGGCGTGAAGGAAGAGCGAGGAAACACATGAGAAGATTGCTTACTGCACCAGCAGGGTGATGCTGGCGTGAAGAAGAGGGTACCTGAGCCATTTGTGCTATGGTGGGCATCCCGGAGTTCCTTATTCCTAAAGGATAAATGATGCACATGCATTTTTTTCTTTCTCCTCAGCTGCTCCTCTTTTTTCCTGTACCCTTCTCTGAGTTGTTTAAAGGCAAGTGCCTGGAGTGTGCCTGTCCCTTTTACTTAGCTATAGACATTTCCTGATTTCCATTTCCAATGGTCCATGAGGGAATTAGAGGACATAGGAGACACTGTGTTGGAAAGGAATGAGGTGATAGGATTGACAGATAAGGTGAGAAAAAAACCGAAAGGGGAACCAAGTTGTTCTGGGGTCAGAGGGACCTTGATAGCTTAGAGGTGCTTGTGGGGTTGCTGGTGACAACATATGAATGGAGAGACCCGCGGGCAGAGGCTTCCTTGTGAGGCATGGAACCTGGGAGATGTCTAAGGGATTACAATCTGCCTGGCGTGGGGTGAGAATTGGGGATGAAGCTCAGGGAAAGGAAGACGACGTGGACCTGGGAAGCAGAGTGTTGACTTGGTGATGTGATGGCTTGGAGGAGTTGGCTTACTTGATTGGGAACATTCAGGTGGGAGGGTGAGACAGACCAACTAACAGGTGGTTGGAGTTCAGGGTGATTTTAAAAGAGGCCTTGTGGTCTCCAAGAGACTGGAGGTGTTTGGTTATTGGGTGGTTAGATAGGCTGGTTGTAGAGATGCCCTTCAAAGCCTTTGCAGGTGTAAATTTCTGTGATAACAGTTGGCTGAGACTCAATGAGATAAATCTGAAAGTACTTTGTAAAGAAAGAGTAAGCATGGTATTGAAATATTACGTGTGGCTAGCTGTGGGCTTTCCTTTGAGATAGTTAAAGATATCTCTCAAAGGGAGATTTAGTTACATCTCTGGGTGTTCATTGACATTAAAGAACGAAGTTCTGATGTAAGGCATTTTTGATTTTTGCTTCTTAGTTTTTCTTTGTTGTTTTAAGCATTTAAGAGCTTCCAGTTAGTGTAATATACTTTCCAGAGTGCCATGCCTAAAAATCAACTTTATATGAAGCTGCTAACATTCATCTCAGAAACTCTGATACCCGTTTGTTTCTCTGAGAAAGAATCTACTTGTGATCTGTTGTCTGGAAATTGCCTGTGTGCTGGTTTGTCCTTTTCTGTGGGTGCTTTAAAAAGTAGCGAAGTGTAACTGTCACCACCTTCAAGTGCCAGCATGGTCAGAGATATCATCTGGTAGGTCTCCTACGTGTGTGCAAGTTTCTGCTTATGTCTCTGCAGCTATTTCCTCTCACCTTTGACTAGTGAGAGAGAAGGTAAATTCCATCATGTAGTATATAATTATGGGGATCTACTATGTGACATGCATTGGGAATTCAAAGATGAGTAAGACAGAATCTTCAACTTACAGTCTAGTGAGGAGACACATTAATAGCCCATTTCAGCACTAGGTAATTGCCATAATGGAAACGTGTAACACATATAGTAAGGCAAGAGAAGTGGTAGGGGAAGTCCGGGAAGCCTTAGGATGGCAAAGATTGGTGCTGTGATTTGCATGTGACATTTGAGTGCCTGCCCTGTAGTGTTTTCTTCTTGATTAATCAACAGTGGTGGGGCCAGCTACAATCAGGGAAGGGTAATTTGGCTAAGATGGCATTGGTTTACTTTTTTACTTCTTTGGAAAGAATGCACATGATGTGGTTTGTTCTTCAGGGGTGTTAAGCCTTTGATTTTGAATATCAGATACTGTTAGCCTGACACATAAATTGGAATAGCAGTTCATTTATGTTCCTTTACTTTTTTTTTTAATGTTTCTCTATAAGTTGAGAAGGAATTTAGGCTTGGCTAGTGGCTTTTCCTAATTTGGAGAGATGGATAGAAAAGAGGACTTGGGAAAGGAGTTTTTAGTGGAAAAGGCTATGGATTATTGAGCTTTCAGTGTTACTTGTCCCCTGCTGAAAGCCCTGTACCTACATCATCTCTTTGTTAGTAACAACAGCCCTGCGAGTTGTATTAGCCCCCATTTTATAAATGAGGAAACTGAGGCTAGAGAAATTAAAGTTTTCCCATTTCCATAGTTTGTGGTAAGGAAGTAAAGATTGATTGAGCACTTTCGTTTCATTTCTCACTCCACTTTTGTGCTCTGAAGAGTGGTAATTTGAAACTAGAGGTCTTAATTATCTGAGGTATAAATATTGATACAGAACATTTGGTAAGTGTGATTTGAGAGGGCTTCCAGGTTTATAAGATAGATTTTATTAGTTTTCCCTAAGGTTGAACCGTGATTCAGAGGATTTAGAATTCCTAATTGGTGTCACTGAGATTTCAGTTCGTATTTCCAGATTCCAAAGGGTTTGTTTCCCCTCAATCTAAAGATTACGGATTCATCTTACAAGTAAACTGCTGCTTTCTTTCTATACAGCAATCCCATTTCCAAAACATGAAGTAACATTTTACTCCTGAGAATATCCAAGTGTTTAATGAAAAATATACTGATTTTTTTTTTTTTACAAGTCCTTTAATTAGCTGATAACCTGATTCTGCTGAGCCCTTGCTTGTCCAGGGCTGATCAGCCCATTTTAGTCAAGGGGGTGAGAGATAGGTCTGACTCACGTTAGGCATTAAGCAGGCCATGATGATTGGCTCGGCTCAGTTCTGTCTCTCAACTTGTCAAACCACAGTGTGCTTGAGGATGTTAGTAGGATAGGTGTGGAGGTGTTAGCTGGGAGAGCCAGAAGACCCTACGCTTCAAGATGCAGTCGTTTCCTCCTTGAGTAGGTGAGAAGATATGGAGGCTTCCACTTGGCAGCAAGCTGCAGCTTGGGGCCCAAGGTAGAAAATGCTTTGAGGACCAACAGGAACAGCCCGCCAGCCCACCTAGCACCTTTGAGTTCTGGGAGGCTCATTCCTCGTGCTGTTCATCTGCCATAACTGTGGGTTATCATGAAGATCAGTGAGTAGTTTCTAGCTCAAGGAAGAGTTCAAAGCAGGTACCTCAGTCTGCAGCTAACTTGAGCTATTATTGCCTCAAGTGAATAATTTACTTCACCTGGGCCCTGCTTACTCTTGTTAAAAGAGCAGATTGGCCTGCACTGGTGGATTTTAGTCATAAAACTCTTTATCCCAAGAGAATCTCACTCTGCAGTCTTATGATTCTAGAAGGACCTCAGCAAAATGCCTAGGGCGTTTGATGCTACATTGTGACACTCTTGAAGAGACCGGGCTGTGTATTCCCTTAGTCCTCCCCGCTTCCCCTACCTCACTTACCCTAGTTCTAGCCCTGCACAGAGTTGTTTTGATTTTACGTCTTTCCTATTCGGATGTAAGCATTGTGAGAATGCAGATTGCAAGTCTGTCTTGTTGTATTCTCTTACTAAACCTGGTTCTTGGCATACAGTATGTATCTAATACATATTTCATACTCTCATTTATTTAGAGCAAGAGAGATGGACATGGACGCAAACAGTATGTGCTCCCATCCTCAAGAGATAGAGAGGAGGGAGACACGGAGACAGTGGGAGCTCCCATTCACTGGTTTTACTCCACAAATGCTTGCAATACCTGGGAGCTGGGGGTTCCACGAGGTCTACCACACCGGGTGGAAGGGGCCCGACTGCTTAAGCCGTCACTTGCTGCCTTCCTGAGTGCTTGAGCGGGAAGCTGCAGTGAGGAGTCAGTGTTCCACTTGACCCCAGCGGCTGCAGTGTCGATGGCAGCATCTGACGCCCTAGGCTCCCAGTCTGCTGGCAGTGTGCTCTGGGAGCGCTGGTAACGATGGTTGCCGTTTAGTGAAATGTGCGCACCATGGCAGCTCCTCTGTGTGCCTTTTTATTAAAAATATACGGCATCTCTGTGTCATTTGAATTAAGTTATATCGCAGGTTCTTTCTGGCAGGAACACACTGTGTACTTGGGATCTTTGTTGCTGCTGTCCTGTCTGCCTGAAATACCTTCCCTTTACAAATCCCACCTGTTCCTTTAAGGTTCTTGGCTTTTGGACTGTTCTGATCTACTCTGAGACCCTTCTTTCTCCTGCCTTTTATGGTTTTCTCCTTCATGTAGCAGCTTACTCATCGGATTTTGGAAGTACCTTCTGTGTATCAGGTGTTGTATTTTGCTTGAAAATACCAGGCAGGATAAAGTATGAAAGTTATCCTTAGGATTGCCCAGATTGATGCGTGTGGAGACAGATAAGGCAGTGGGTACCTCAAGGAGGAGGTGGAAGGCAGTGTCACCTCTGCTTTGTAAACCTCCAGGGGGACAGGCTGGGGGAGT